TTAGGAATAGCTAATTAAATGGTCCTTCACACTTATTCTTCAAAAGAAGAATCAGATTTTTACTTTATGAAGTTATAATTCTGTAAGGACAGAAATGAAGAAGTAAAGAATTGATGAATTGCATACTTTGAATAGATACCAGACAAATAAATCTATTATGGACCCAAATTGATTAAAACTGAACTAATGGATTAGCCAATGAAGAAATAACTTCACCTGTATCCTCCTAATGGAAGGCAAGTCTGTTCTTTCAAACAAGATTCTGAATCATGAGTCCCAACCTTAGTTGTCTAATCCATGGCAAGTTCATCAAAAACTAGAATGTAAGTCACAAAAATGGTACAAAAAAGTTACTACTCAACAAAATCTGCAGGACACAGTTAAATCAGAAGCAACATTATACCTGCATCACCACATCAAATTCTGCCACATTAGTAGTATAAGCTTTCTCTTTTTTTCTCATTCTTCATAGCAATCTGCATAGTAAGTCAAATCATTAGGACATTTGCATCGGACCAGGACTACGATGTAACCAAATAAGTGACACTAGCCGGCATTATGATTCAGTAGTTCAGTCCCCTAAAATATTATTGTACCAACACATTTGTAGTTCTGGTATTAAAATTGTACTAACTTCACCTTACAGATAATTACTTTTTACATAATTTGAGATGTAGGAGCATCTAAGCACCAATCTAGGGCTAAAAGAACAGTTCTATCTCTTCAGCTTTATTAGTCTCTATTGGAGGCTTCAATTCCTTGCACTATTGTTGTTTTACTAAAGAGTCACATAAATAACATGTAATTTACAATGAGCTTGGACGGTCTAAATTAAACTAGATTGTGAGATAAAGGGCCATGATTGTAGAACAATCATAACTCTCTCTTACATGCCTAGTTAGCGGCCATCATGTTATAGTTTTAGATGCATATTTCTTCTGGTTGCCTTTTTTTTGGCTACATTTCATCTGCCTGCTTTGGCTGTTTTCATATGTCCTGCTTATATAATTCTTCCAGCATGACATTAACATTGCAAGAATAAGTGCATCACATATTACTGTTATTTGATAAAAAAACCATATCCAGCAAATCAAAACCAGAAATGAACCAAGCAGGAATAAAAATTATATCAAAATCAGAAAACTTAATCATTCATAAGAAGTTAACACACCACTTAATCTATTTTTGTCAAACAATAGAAATTAGATGAAATAAATCAACAAAATCAGTAACTGTTAACCATTGTAACAGGCTGGCAGAAACAACCTAAGAAGCTTCTTTCATTTCATGCATGCAAGAGATATGATCACTACATAAGACTTAGTATGATATTACAAATCATAGCAATGACATCGTAATGAAAGATATAGGAAATTCAAAGGTGCAAGAATTACCTCTTGCAAGGTTGATGTCTACTTTCAGAAAGATTTCCACATCAATCCAGATCCCTGCAAAAAATCATGAAGGCCCATCATAACAGATTTTAACGACAAAAAACAGAGAGTTTGTACAACAAGAACTAGCTAACAAAGATATTTCAAAACTCAAAGGATCTTTATCCTAATATAGACTAATGGCATACAATTGGGTTCCACTCATAAGTGGTGTTATTATAAGGTGCAAAGTCAGCTTGTGGAAACTTCTGAGCAGGAGAGAATCCTGCAAGAAAAAGAAGATTAAACTGTTAGCAAAGTAAGCATAGTTCCTTGACCCACCGTAGTTCTAAAGAGAGAAAATTGACAGTAAAAAGTAAGAAACTGCATTTACCTTTTAGCTTATGTTGGATTTCAACCCCCGTTTCAACTAAAACACCACCAACATTCCTAGCAAAGCTTAATCATTTGATATTCTGAAATAGAAACAGGTATTTGACAATAAGATTACTGAAGAGAATTATAGTCCCAACAGGAAAAATCATCAATAAAAACCTTCTGCAAAATTTTCAACTTGGAAACATATAATCAGTGAATATTGACTAATGATCAAGCTCATATGATAAATACATTTGGCCTCTGAACTGGTACTATTGTGCCAACACAGCAAATTTTCGCTATCTTTATTCCAGTTTAGTGGCCAGACTCAGAGTAGAAAAACATGTTTTTACATCAATTCTTAAATGAACTTGATCATTGAATATGATCCTGACCGTAGAGAGATTACCTCAAAACTCATCATGTATTGCTGCAATAGACTTTCTTTTTCTCAAAAGCCTTGATATGACCCCAAATGTACAAAGATTACCTCAAAAAGTATCCAAAGTTGCTACAATTGCCTTCCTTTTCCATGTACTATAGTAAACATTCAAATAGTACATTCTTATCTTTTTTGCTCTCAATTAAACCCAAGAATACTGATTTTAAAGAGCTTTCTGAAACTTCAAGAAAATTAATTCCACATTCACAAAAACATGCCCAATCCTCAATTAAATTGACCCTACTTTCATCCGTATCGTTTAGAAAATTCATCTCAAATTTAAAACCAAAAAGTAAAAAAAAAAGTAAAAAAGAAACAAATCTCTACTCTTGATGTAGTGCACAGCCAACAGCTTCTAGAGGTGTTTAAGAGGCATGCTAAGGTTGGTTGGGATGCCCAAGCCTAAATTTGGCACATGGACATGATGCTGCAAGCTGAGAGCTTGGGCAGGCTTTAGTAGTTGCTTTTGAGTCTTAGATTTATGTTTCTTTATGTTAAAGTCATTAGTTCCCATTTCAGTATCTGTTTTCTTGAATTTTCAGTGCACTGGCATTTTCTTAATTTTCTGGTTTGCTGCAAATTTCTGATTTTGAGTGTAGAGTAATAGTGTGGATAAGTTTATTAGTTCTCTATTTGGAGTCTAAGTATCTGTTAAAGTCATGATACAAAAAAGAGTTCTATTCCTTTTAGGATTAGGAATCCATTTAAATCAATACTCTTTTTGTGAAATATAGTTTAATATAAAAGAATTTTCAGCATTATTGTTTTGTGATTGTATGATGCAATCAACCTTAGTTGTGACTCCTAAGGACCTTATGGTGGTGTTTAGAGATTGCTTTTCTTTTCCGTTTTCTTCATTTAATCTTCTTGTTCTCCTCAAGTATTTAAATCAGAAAACTGTCATAAATCCTAACCACCAAGCAGCCCTACATCAATCTTGGCCAGAAACTTGTCTTCTCAACATATGTTCTCAGCTTGGTTGCAGCATTTTCTTGTTTCAGCACATCCTAGTCAACAGATACTAGTCATTGTCAAAATGACGATATTTTAACCTTCATGCATCCGAAGTTCATAGACTATTCTTATGAACCACCATGGGAATACAATACCTCCTCTATTTAAGTAAATTTTTTTCAGTAAAGTAAATAGCAGAATCATGGATAGGGAACTATGCTAGTGACCTACCCAATTTTATTTAGAAATTTTTGGGATCAATGATGGGACCATGCAAACTAGAAACCAAAATTAGAGACACAAACTTTAAGTGTCATAACATTAAGGCCTTTTCAGGAGTCTATCCGATAGATTATTTAACGAAATAAAAAATAAGAAAAGAGATTTTTTTTTTATAAGTAAGTTTTATTATCCAAAAGAAGCAGCATAAAATGCTACAAGTCCACTGGCTGCAGTCAGCAACTACAAAACGAACTCATTATGCTACGAAAATATAGTATCATACATCCCCCAAGCATTACATAAATACATATTAACAGAGCCCCCTGCAATATTCTTAAAACCAAACAAAATTGATTCAGTATATTATATAGTTATCTTTTTGATTGAATATTTAATACATAAGACAGTTCTACAACAGGTTTAATATCATAACTCAAAAGATGTATAACACAAATGAGTAAAAAAGAAGATTAATAAGACATTATTATGCACACATAGACACCTAAAAAACACAAAACTGAAATGAACCTTTTGGTAAACAATACCAATTAATGAAAAAAACTAATCTGTAAAGTAGAAGGAAAAGTACATGCATGTGCGAGAGACAATCCCAAGGAGGCTTGCAAAATAAACTGATATGCATACCTGCAAAAGAAACCTTCCACTTCATCCATTGACAACAAAACTGCGGATGGCTGAGCCAACTCTTTGGTGTTCTTGTATTTTATAATTGGAACTACAACCCTGTCTCGTCTGGGATCTGAAAACAAAACATTAGAAGGAAAAACATAAGTTGACAAACAATAGTTGAAAGAACTACTCTCAGAAAAAGTGTTAGATATAAATGAGTACAGTATAAAGAGTTCGCAATCCTCTAAGGGATCTTACTTGAGCAACCAATCTCTCCCGAAAGATTGAATAGATGGACACAAGGGTATCTATCAACAACCATGTACATTGACTTTTGAAGATCAGGAACTGCCTCCATTGAGTTCATCTGTCCTATAATTTTCAAATTGAAGAGAAAAGCTAATTTCAATTCAAAATGCCAAATTCAACGATTAAACAATAATAATAAAAATGAAAGCCGAAGTAAACCAAAAGATAGCAAAGTAGATATTGCAGAAACAGGAACAATCATGAAGAAAAGTCACAAAAGAAAATGATGCTTTGATTGTATTTTCATTTTCTAAGAAATCAAATCAAATAGCATATCCGAATTTAAGAGATTGTATAAGAAAAAGAATTAAGAGTTAGATATTGCATACGCAAAAGAGAAACTTACCAGACAGAGAGACGAAACTGGAAAATGAAGAGCAAAACGAGAAAACCGATTTTCATGGCCATAACGGAGAATCGGAGGGAAATAGAAACCTAGCCATTCTATAAACGGATTCAACTGAATAAAGCTGAAAAATTCCTAAAAAACTTTCATTCGGTGACAGTAAAAGAAGAAGAGGAAGGAGGGAGTGGATTCGTTCAGTGAAAAAAAAAAAAATTTGTGAGCGGAAAAGACGAGTTTTAGTAGTTTTATGCCTTTAAACGACGCTGTTTTGATGAGGGTAAAAATGGGAAAAAAAATCGAAAGGAGTTAGAAAAGGAGAGAAGTGGACCGCGGCTAAAGATTCGTACTTTCCCACTCAAAAAAAAAACCTAACCCAGCAAAGCTCCACAGCTCCTCTTCGCCGGCGAGCCATTCTCAGGTATTCGTTCTAGCTCACTTCCATTTTTATCTTCTTCATTTCCCTCTCTCTTTTCCTTCCAGTCATTTTCTTTCGGTTAGATTTTCCTGAATAATTAACCATTGAAAATTTAAATTTTGTGCATAAATAAATTCTTGAATATTCTTTTATATGTTGCAATTTTGTTCGTTTTTAATTGATCAAGAATTCTGATTATGAGCTTGTCACTTGAAGATAGGTTTGTATTTGGTAGATTATTGGCATTTTAATTGACTTAGGTTAAAGCATTTGAAATATTTGTAGTTTTGTATAATCTTTTTATTTATGTGGAAGAAATCTTGAAATAGGAATTGGATGGCCTATATCCAGTATGGAAGAAATGCCCTCAGGCAAATTATCAATGACGCAAATATTCATAACCGTGATTGTTTGATGCATCCTCTCTTGTATGCTTGTCAAGGAATTAGATACAGAAAGTTGGAAGTCATTCTTACAACGGTGAATACTTTTAATCCATAAATCTCGTAATTTTTATGTTGCAATTTCCTTTTTTATATATAGAAAAATTATTACTCATTTTTTTCTGTCCTTCCATGTGTTTAGAGTATTGAGAAGCTTGGCAAAGCTGGTGAAACTGTCAAAGTCGCTCCTGGTTATTTTCGCAACCACTTGATGCCGAAGTTGCTTGCGGTCCCTAATATTGATAAGTTTGCTTATCTCATTAGGGAGCAGCGTAAGGTCACTTTCTTCGCTGTTTAATTCACTCTGTCCACTTTTGAGTATAATCTGTGTTTTATGCTCGAAACTTATGTTCATCCATTGCTGTAAATTTATGTCTGTTGATATCAATTTGCATCCCAAAGTCTCATATAAACCTTTTATCATTACACATTCTAGGAAAAAGGAGCTTGTCATAAAGGTTGAAGTTTTTCATATTTCTGCTGGTTATGATTTAAGTAGTGTCATTTCTCAGATGTATATCATCTGTTATTAGTGCCTTACATAGGAACAATGTCCCCTGATGCAATTATATTAGTTCTTGCTTACCATATGGCTCTTTTGCACCTTTTTGAGGATTCACATGTGCTTATGAATATTAGATATTGATGAAGTAAAAATCCATTCTTTATTTTAGATAATTATGCACATTCTGCTTTTCTATTTTGTCAATTTAAGTTACTGTTGTGAAATCTTGATTCAGTGGAGTTACTTCTGATACAGAGGGTATCTACAGTTTTCCTTTTCAGTTTAATGATAACTTTCCAGTGGTCTAATTGCACACCAGATTTATCAACCTGAGGAAGAGAAGGTTCAAGTAGTTACAAAGAATGTGGAAGATAAGACAAAAGAATATGAAAAGGCAGCAAATCGTCTCATTAATGCACAGCTGGTTAGTTCTCTATCTATAAAGCCCTTAATCTAGAAACCCTCTTTTAGGTTTAAATGTCTGCTTCTTTTATCCCCCACCCCCAACACACATGCACACCAAACACAAAAGAGCCCCAGTAACAATTTGTTTATTTTTTTTTTTAAGGTTTTGGGTAACAAGGTCCGGGGGTTGGAGATTGAAACATTGGACCCACCCTCTACTGGTGGGCTAACAAAAGCTGAACTTAGTATATGTTGTTAAACAATGATGTTAAGAATTTCATAGGACTTATTTAAATTCTGAAAGATGCTAGAAAGTGATAATTGATTCAACTTGTTATTGGTGAACAATTATCTTTTCAAAAGTTAGTTGAAGCTTGGAAACAATAATTGCTGTTGGCCTTTGTTTGGATCTTGTGTATAACTTGTATCACATTTTATAGGTATTGAGGAGATTCATCAATGTTGAAAAGTTTCGTGCTCGTGCTACCAAAGATGACCCAATTGAATTGCGCTCACCTGTGACAAAAGATGAACTTATTGCTGAGGTATGACTGTGCTCTTTATTTCTAGTAATTGTTTCTCTCACATCTTTACAATAAGTAGTCTCCTTGTGTTATATCTGTTATTGATGTCATATATCTGCTCATGTTCTGCAAAAGGAAAAACAAGTACTCATATAATTGTAAAGAGTTAGATATGTCTGTAGAACCTATGGGAGCTTTGGTCTCTGGATAAGAACGTTTTTCTGTGAAGTTCGTTTGAAAATCACTTGGAGGTGCTACTTTCATTCATGAGCTAACCATGAAAGCTTAAGATGTGGATTTGGGACATTATATTTTTGTTATTTCCACGTGTTCCATTGTTGATTAATTCCTTCAAACTGTTTCAGGTTGCAAGGCAGCTTTGTGTGCAAATTGAACCTGAAAACCTGTACCTACCAACACCTTTGTCAACATTTGGAGAGTTTGAGGTGCCATTGCGTTTACCAAAATCCATACCTCTCCCGGAAGGAAAGGTTCATTGGACTCTTCAAGTTAAGATCCGAGGTAAATAAACAGAGATATTGGAGCTCTCGATAACACCATGCAAGTAAAGGGCTTTCAAACGTTAGTGCTGGCTCAGAGATGTGCCTTGATCTTAATATTATTGCGGAGGAATCATATCTTTTTGAATTAGCTAATTGAGATGATGGGAATCAAATTTCCAGAGACTATTGATCTTCGTTGTTCGATGATGTGATTTACTATCACATGGAACTGTTGTTTGACAAAACAATTTTTCTTTTTTTTTTTTTGGAAGTAAATTTATTTCGTTAGCTCAAATATGTAAGTCAATTCAAGAGAGGTGAATTGGATTGTCAAAATTTTAAATACATTGAAATTCAAATATTAAGAAACTAATAATGAGTAAGATAACTGAAAATAAGTAATAAAAGAATTGGGAAAGAATATCAAATTTAACGATGTATAATGTCTACGTTCTCTCTTTTAGTTTTTAAAGTCAAGCTACAAATCTACTAGTAGAATATTGTTTTATAAATTAAAATTTTTATCTTTTCAAAACTCAAGATAATAACCTTTATAACCTCACTGTACAACTTTCAAGAGGATAGCACATCTATTACTGTCTAATCTTTTTGAATGTCAAAAGGAATTTGCAAAGCAAGAAAACCTCTAATAAGTGAAGTGTAAAGATGGAAAGATAGTACAATAAGAATTTTGGCTTGAATAATTTAAGAATTTGCTTTTTGTTCTTTGAATGCTTTAGAAATGGAAAATCTTAACTTGCAATGCTTTGAATGTAATCTCTTACTCTTACTCTTCAATGTATTGGAGGCTTTTTTGTTTTTATGTGGGTTTTTTTTTTAATTTTTATTTCTAACCGTTGAGTCATTAAATTCAGAGATAATCATTATTTCCATCAATTTTTGTCTTTATTTTAACTTTTTTGAGAGAATGGAGCAATCCTTTTCCTTAGGAGATTGATCATTATAATTAAGAAGTATAGCTGTTAGATTGAAGACAGATTGAACCTCTAACTCAAAAAATAGAGGAAAAGCATTTTGACTTTGTAGGAATTGATCCTCATGCTTGAAAGCAGGCGAAAAACATTTTGGAAATAGGGGATTGATCTTGAAAAACAGATGATAACTATTCTGGAAGTGATGTGATCAATCCTCTCAATTGGGGACCGATCCTTTTTCCTAAATTTTCATATTTTGATATTTTGATCAAGGAAAAGGTGTTGATTTTTTACAAACATATTTTTACCGATAATGTTCATTTTAAGAGTAGGGAATCTTTAGAAATTTGAGGTCCAATAAAATTTTATAATTTTTCCAAGAATTCAATCAAAAGTTATTTTAAGAAATAAATTGCTAAATGGTATAAGTTGAAAAGTAATCAAATTTAATTTAATGTTCTGTTACATCAAAAACCTATATCAATTCAAAGCTAACATATTTCTATCTAAAAGGCCTTTTCTTCGAAAATCTCATATAAGGTCTAATTTGGCTTAGCCCAATTCTAAAGGCTTGAAACTATTTTAAGAAATTAAATATATTTTTATATTTAATATATTAGTTTTTTAAATATATATTTGAATTAATATTGAATAAAAACTAATTATTTAACAATAAAATATGTTTACAGATTGAATCAAACCTAAATTTAAATATTTATATTAAAGCTTGTATTGAGTCAGGTTTATGGACAGACATACTGATTAGAGATGATAATGAATTGAATCAAATTTGGTTTGGTTATTTCGATTAATGCATGGTATTATGAATTTTCAAAATCCAAATCAAATTATAGTCGACCTCTCTAAAATACGCAATTGATCGGAATTGAATTTTATTGGTTACGTTCATCGGTTTTTGAAAATTAATTGTCTATAATTTTTCTATTATTTTCATATTATTTAAAATATAATTAAATAAATTTAGATATAAAATAATTATTTTATTTTATAAAAATTTAATGTATATATATAAATTAATATAAATATCTAATTTGATTTGATTCAAATTTTTTTTATTTTTTCACTTTTTATCCAAAAGTCGAACTAAAACTACAATATCCGAACTTAAACTAAATCTAATAAAAATTAATCCAAACCAATCAAACTGTTATTTTGACTCAATTTTCAATTTTTTTCAATTGTTTTTTCACCCTTATGATTTATCTCCTCCTTTTCCTTAAGAATGCTTATTTCCAATCGTAACAGCTCACCTTCATCTCTCGTGAAATCACTATCTTTTTTGTTTTTGATTTTTTTTATCTATTGTAATAACCTTAAGAAAAATCTCATCTCCTAAAGAATAGTTATTTCCTATCATAGTAGTTTATCCTTATCATTCAAAAAGCCATTATTTAGCATATTTTATACTTACTTTTTATCTCTTTCAATGACTGTCATACCATATATGTTTGAAAACTTAATTGCTAGACATAGACTTTAAGAGTTGACATCTTTAGATATGATTGGCTACCTAATTGAATTTGTCTCATTTTAAAGAAAAGTTTCAAAATTGATTTGAGTATCTTTAACAGATAAATTCTAGTATATAAAACTAGAACTAGATTCAAGAATATGATTAATGAGAACCAAACAACTGATAAAAGAGATGGTAACCATTTGGAGTGAATCGAAGGTGAGTGGAGGGGTCCCGGGTATGAAAAAGGTTATAATGCCCCACAACACCTATCGAAAGATGGTACTAGTTTGATTTCGTGTTATCCAAGCCTTAAAACATGTTTGTATTTTTATCAAATAATTTAATTATTAGAAATTGATTTAAAGTTACTCCAATCATTTGGTAACAATTTAAGACAATTTTCTTACCTCAAGAGTATTCATGGATACTAGTGTTTCACTTTGAAAAGGCTCCGTCGTTAGATTTATTAATGTATTTTCTAACTATTAATTATTTTTTAAAACAATCAATAAAATCCTCCAATAATTTGGTAGGATTTTATTTCGATACATATTTCCCAATAGTTTTATGGGATTTTTTATTCAAAAATTTATCCATAAAATTTTAGAAAAAGTTATTAAATCTTCTAATAGTTTGTTAAGATTTAACTTGAAATTTAAATCCTCTAACCGTTTGATAGGATTAAAAAATTATTTTTCAAGGAAATTTATTAAGTTCTCCAATAATTTGGTAGTACTTAATTTGAGATTTAAATCTTTCAATCGTTTGGTATGATTGAAAATTTATTATTATTTTTTTTACAAAATTTCATTATGAAATTCTTGAATCGTTTGATAGAATTCATAATTTAAAATATCTAAACCCATGAAAATTCTCCAGTCGTTTGGTAGGAATCATTAGTTTATTTTGAAAACTTCCTTTTTTTTAAGAAAAAAATTAAATAGATAAAATTTACACAAATAAAATAAAAAATTACCAATTAAAATCAATTAAAATAAGCAAAATTTAAATAAAAAAAATAAAAAATTTACCGAAAAAAAGGATAATTCAGCTCAAGTACAAAAAAAATAACTCGCTAGAATGGCTTGAGTAGTAGCTCAACTCAACTTGGAGTATGCCTTCAAAGAATCGGGTTAAAAATCGAGTTGTGACTGAACCAAGTTGAAATTGGTAACACATGCGAATCCTAGAGATTTTTTTTACACTCAAAACGAAGCCATTTAACTATTAGTATATAAGACCGAAAATTTTGTTCTCTAAAAATTCCTCTACCTCTTCCTTCTCTATCTTTTTTTGCTATTTCTCTCTCTAAAAGAGAAGATCACCAATGGCTAACCTTTCAAACTTTGTTGGAATCTAGGTTTCATTGTTGAAATCTCATCGGGATTTGGTTGCAATTTGGGTTTTATCATCAGATTTTGAAATTAGTCTTTGGAATCTAGGAACTTATCGAAAAACTCATCAAGAATTAGGAATTTGGCTACGAAACTTACTAGGAAATTTAATTCTATTGGAAAATTCATCCAGATTCTAGAATTGTAGAAATTTTCTATAGAAACACCAAAAACACCAATTAAAACTCCTTGGATCTTCTAATAATTGAATCAAACTAAATCAAACCCTCTTAAATCCCAAACTAAAAAAAAAAAAATTCTTCAAAACCTTTTTACCAGAAAAACTTATTACTTTTTTTTTCTTTTGAGTATTTTTCTATGCTGTTCTAATTGTTGTGTTTGCTGTGTGATTACTGTATTTGATTGTGTTGATTACAAATCCTTTTATAAGGGCTATTTTGGCTTGACTAGTGTCTTGATAAAGAATGGATTCTTTAACAATGAAAATTCAATCTTTTCACCGAAAAAATATTGAAATTATCCCCAAGTAAACTCATTTACTCAAATTCAATTTTGAAAGTATGGTATCGTTTAAAGATAAAATTTCAAGCATTTCCTTAACTCAATCACCTAATTTGATCACTAGCCAGTCATTCCCAATCAATTTTTGGCCATTCAAGAATTATTTCTTTAATTTTCTTTTTTTTAAAAACTCTTTTTTTTTTTAACAAAAACTAATTAGATAATAAAAAATAAAAAAATAAATGAAATTAAACTAGAGATAAACCACAATAAAAATAAAATTTTAAAGCAAATAAAAAAAGAATAAAAATAAAAAATAAATAAGATAAAAATATATATATATATACAGATAAATACAATAAAAGTAAAAACATACAATAAAATAAGAAAATATATAGAAAATTGGACAATTAGGCGTTGAACGAGTCATAACCCAACCGAGTTAGACCTTGGACTAAATAGGATGTCTACAATTGCCCCTCTTTGCATAGTTTCTATGAAACAAGAATTGTGCAAAGATATAGACATCTACTATGTTTGGGCCCAAATTATTCAACATCTTTTTTTAATTTTTAATTTTTTACTTTTTTTCCTTGAAAGGTTGCTCAAAAATAGAGGCACAACACTATAACAAATCAAGGGATCCTTTAATACAAAGACACCCAACTTTTAAAAATTAAGACTTTTTCAACACAAAGGCACATAACTTTAAAAATTAAAGATAACACCTGAAGGTTTTGATAATAATGCCTAGAGGTCTTATAGATCATGTTTGAAGAACTAGGAGATTATGCTTGAGGTCTTACAAATCATTCTTAATATTGAAAAATGCTTTCTTTAGAATAAAAGATCCACAACTTTATGAAATGTACTTGGAGGTTTTAAAAGATCACGCCTGGAGGTCTTATAAATCATGCGCAAAAGACTTGAAAATTATGCTTGGAGAACTTAAAAGATTAATGCCTAAAGTTTTATAGATCATGCTTAGAGGATTTGGTGATTATACTCGAGGGACTTAAAAGATCAT